GTTTAGGGTTTAGGGTTTAGGGTTTAGGGTGTAGTGTTTAGTGGGGCCCTCCGGGCCAGCGCGACCAGCCCAGTGGCGAACCGTGAGCAGCTGCGTCTGTTTCTGATTTGTTGAAAATAAAAATAAAAAGTAATTTATTTTAAATTTAAAAAATAATATATTTATTTATTTATTTATTTACCTGTTCAAGTAGTTGGTGCTGCAGTTGCTGCTGGTGTGTAGCAGCAGCAGCAGGAGCAGCAGCAGCAGCAACAGCAGCAGCAGAGTGATTGGCGGCGCTATCCTTCTGCAGCTTTTTGACCAATTATTTTAAAATTTAAAATCACACTAATATTTAAAATTAAATTAGATTTTATTCTATTTATTTCAGCCTTTTCAACTTTCCGTTGCTGCTTCTGCTGCTGCTGCTGCTGTTGCTGCTGCTGCTGGTGCTGCTGGTGCTGGCTGCTGCTGCTCCTGCTGCCGTTGCTACTGCCGCTGCTAGAGGCCCCCTTCTGTTTCTGTCTCCGTGTTTGGGTGTGTTGTGTTAAATTTTGTCTCTGTCTCGGTGTCTTTTCTTTGAAATAAACGGTTTAGGGTTTAGGGTTTAGGGTTTAGGGTTTGGAATTTCTTCTGTCTCTGGGAGACAGAGCTTCGCTGGCGTTCTCCCTTTTGTCCCCTTCTCCTCAAACAACTGTCCCTCTAAAGATAATTAATTAAATTATTTATTTATTTATTTATATATTTATTTATATATTTATTTATTTATTTATTTCTAATTCATTTTTTAGTTCTTTTCCCAAATCTAAACACAGGGTCACTTCAACTAAGTGAGGGGCCCCCGCCCCCCCAAACGCTGCAGCAAGGGCCCCCAAAGGGGCCCCCGAGGGCTCCCCGAGGGGCCCCCCTAGGGCCCCCCGGAGGGGCCCCGCGGGGCCCCCCAGGGCCCCCCGAGGTCCCTTTCAGTACCCTTTTGGGGCCCCCCAAGGGGCCCCTCTAGTGACCCTTTGGGGCCCCCCTAGGGCCCCCTTTAGGGCCCCCTTAGGGCCCCCTTAGGGCCCCTTTTTGGTCTTTTTTGGGGGCCCCTTGAGGCCCCCTTCAAGCTCTTCAAGTACATTCTTTCGGGGGCCCCCAGTGCCTCCTGTGAGGCTCTTTAGGGCCCCCTTTAGGGCCCCCCGAGGGCCTCTTAAGGGCCCCCTTTAGGCCCCCCTGGGGCCCCTTTAGGGCCTCCTTAGGGCCCCCCAGGGTACCCAAAAAGGAACCCTTTAGGGCCCCTTTAGGGTCTTTTCAGGGCCCCATTTAGGGGCCCTTTAGGGTCTTTTTAGGGCCCCCTTTAGGGCCCCTTAAAGGGCCCCCTTAGAGTCTTTTGGGGGCCCCTTAAGGGGCCCCTTTAGGGTCTTTCTGGGGCCCCTTAAAGGGCCCCTTTAGGGTCCTTTTAGGGCCCCTTTGGGGGCCCCCTGAGGGCCCCCCGAGGGCCCCTGTGGGTGGCGGCGAAGCAGCAGCAGGAAAGGTGGAAACGGAAAGAGAAAAGAAATTAACAAAGAACAAAAAAAGTCAAAAAAGATTCAAAAAAGGGACAAAAAAGAACAAAAAAGGGCCAAAAAGAGGATTAAAAAGAGACAAAAAGAGATAAAAGAAAGGAAAAGGAAATAACGGAGTTCAAAAGGGACAAAGAGAAACAAAAAGGAAAAAAAGAATAAAAAAATAAAATTTTGAAAATGGAGGAAAAGTGTGGGGCCCCACAGCTGCGGTGTCTGCCCGTGGGGTGTCTGTACAGCAGGAAGCAAAGGGGTGGTGAAGAAAAGGAAATAAAAAAAGAAATAAAAGAAGAAATAAAAGAAGAAATTAAAAAAGAAATAAAAAAAGAAATTAAAAAACCCAAATCCATTCTCAAAGTTCTTCTTTACCGCAACAAATTCTGTCTGCTGCTGCTTTGCTGCTGCTGCCTCGTGCTGCTGCACGGCATCTTCACTTCCATCAACAAACCACCCCCAGGTAACAGCA